CCCAGTACTGTTTGGTTTTTTTGTTTTAAAAGCCATTTTATCTGAATTAAACTGTATTTAAGCCAGGTGCCAGTGATTCATTCCTGTAACCGAGCTACTCAGGAGGCAGAGACCAGGAGGATTATAGTTCAAAGCTAGCTCCGGTAAATACGAGACCCTATCTCGAAAATACCCAGCACAAAAAAGTACTGGCAGAGTGGCTCAAGTGGTAGAGTGCCTGCCTAGCAAGTGTGAAGCCCTACCCCAAAAAAGAAAAAAAAACTTTTTATTTTATTTAACTAAACTTTTTTTGTAATTTTGTAATTGGAATTTTGATTGGCCTTTGACATGCAAATTATAAAACTGTCTTGTAAATAGGAAAATCACTTTTTAAAAAATGAATTCTGATTCAAGCTTGCAGATGTATGACTATAATCAGAGTATTTGGCAGGCTCTGGCAGACTGGAGGATCATGAGTTTGAGGCCAGCCTGGGATACACAGGGAGACCTGTCTCAAAAAATAAAGAAAAATGAGCTGCAGATGTGACTCAGTGGTAGAGCACTTGCCTAGCAATCCCTAGCACAGAGGGGGGAAAAAAGGATTTTGGGAGGTTGAGAGTGTAACTCAGTGCTTAGTGGTATAGCGTGTAGGCCCTGCATTTGGTCCTTAATACCACTAAAAATAAAAGAATTCTGTGCCATAGATGAAAAGACTGGAGTAAGACATGCTTATATTTGAAGCTAATTAGGAACTTTGACAGTAGGCCGTTGGGTAATTTTGAGTTAGGGTCTTGAGAACTTTTTGCCTGGTCTGTCTTTGAACCTCTGTCCTCCTGATCTCTGTGTCCAGAGTACCTAGGATTACAGGTGTGAGGCACTGGCTCCTGATTTGCTTCAGTTATTTTTGAAATGGTCTTGATTTTTGCCCTGGCTGGCCTGGGCCTTGATCCTCCTATTTATGCTTCCCACAGTAGCTGGGATAACAGACATGTGCCACTTCGCCCAGCTTTTTCTGTTAAGACTGGATCTCAACTTTTTGCCCAGGCTGGCCTTAAACTTCCATCCTCCTAAATTTCACCTCCTGAATAGCTAGGATTAAAGGCGTGAAGGCATGAGCCATGATTACCTCCCCCATCCCCTCTTTAAATTAAGGTGAAAAATACCCTCTTTTTTTTTTTTTTTTTTTGGTACTGGGGCTTGAACTCAGGGCCTACACCTTGAGCCACTCCACCAGCCCTTTTTGTGTTAGATATTTTCAGGATGGCGTCTCACAAACTATTTGCCCAGGCTGGCTTTGAACTGCGATCCTTCTGATCTCTGCCTCCTGAGTAGCTAGGATTGTAAACTCCAGCAAAAATACCCTTTTTTGAGGATCAGTTGAGATATGTAAAATGTCAGTGCCATTTTTTTGTTTCTGAACCATTCTTAAAATCTTAAGGAGTCACACCATCCTCACAGTCCAGGCTGTCTGGATTCATTAAAAATTGTATTACATTTTGGGTTTTTTAAAAAAATTAGTATACATTAATTTAGTACAAGGGGTTTCATGGTGATATTTCCATAGATACATACAGTGTACTTGGATGATTCATATTTTATCAGTAAAGCCCTGATTAAAAAAAAAAAAGACTTAAGTAGTACTTTACAGTTTATAACTCTTTCCTATTCGTTATCTGTTTCATCTGAAGAGAAGTATCATTATAGTCTTAATTTCCATATTCAGACCAGGAACTTTGGTGTACTGACGCCTCCTGTTTGTTGAAAGTAACTGGACCTCCTAATGGGAAAAACTGTAAAAGATAAATATTTTTTCCTTGATTTTATTTATGTTTTGCTTCCACTAAAAAAATTCTTTTTGGCTTGATGTCTTATTTTTTTTCTTCATTTGTAGAAGAGTCCTCTCATTCTCTTTAGAAGTTACTTGTCCTTGAGATTTTAAAAAATTCATTTATCATTTCTTTAAATTGTTTTCTTTTGTGTTAGTGGTTTTTATAATGGTCTGTTATATATTGCTTCCTTTCTTAAAACATTTGATGATTATTCATATTGAAGAATGAAGTGATAAAAAGCTGGAGTTTTGTGTATGTGAGAAGTACTTACTAAATGGCACTGAGATTGTAAGATCCTGAAAAGCCACATCTCTTTGTAGTGTCAGTGTTCATGTGAACACTTGAGAGAATATACCTTGTTTTAATTTTTTTCTTTTGCAGTCCCATGTACTTCTCTGCCATCTCTGCAGTTTTTGAATTTTAAATACCAGTTTTCTATGGAGCAGAACAGCTTCATATATGTATCCTACCTTCCACACATAACATTCTATCTAGGTCTTGGGATCCGTTGTTTTGTTTCATCAGTTACTATGCCGCCATTTACAGTTAACTCCAAAGATTTTGTGAAATGGCTCATGACCGCCTCTTTTTTTTTTTTTTTTTTAAATAGTGGTAATAGGGTTTGAACTCACGGCCTCACGCTTGCTACATAGGTGCTCTACCACTTGAGCCGAGCCCCAGCCCAGCTTCCTCTTGTCACAGTTTCATTGTTTCTTTGCTTACTTTCTGTATTTTAGGTTTGGTAATTGAACCCATGTCCTGTTAAATAATAATCACATTTACCCCTGAACTGTATTCCAGCCTTTTTTCTCCCTTTTTAATGGAATGTTTTGGAATGTTTGAGGTCAGGGTGCCAATCATGAACTCAAGATCCTATTGTGTTTGTGATGGGTATGAATGAAGAGAATTTACAAGTTAGTATCTTAGTGGTTTTATATTTTCATTATGGCAGAGGTTATCATTTCTTAGTTTTTGTTTTTTTTTTTTGGGCAGTAGGTTTGAATTCAGGGCCTCACATTTGCTAGGTAGGCACTCTACCACGTGGGCCATGGCACCCTGCTCACTCCCGCCCTTTTTTGGCTTTGTTTATTTTGCAATGCTGGCGATTGAACCTTACCTGTACATGCTAGGTAAGCATTTATCAATGAGCTACGTCCGCAGTCCAACTTCATTTTTGAGATCGGTTCTAGCTATATGCCTTGGCCAGCCTGGACTATGATCAGGTGGGATGACAGGTGCATCCCACCATGACTAGCTTTTTAAAAGTTGATTGAGATGGGGCCTCGTGAACTTTTACCCAGGTTGGCCTCAAATCACGATTTTCCTGTTTTCTGCCTCTGTGGCATCTAGGATTATATGCTTGAGCCACCATTTCTGGCTTCTGTAGTCTTTATAAATGTTTATTATAACTTTTTGCTGTTCCTAATGTTGACTGTTAACATTTGGATTTTATTAATTTCAGTTAGAATTCAGGGCTGGTGTATAGCCCAATAGTAGACACCTGCCTAGTAAGTATGAGGCCCCCTCAAATCACGATTTTCCTGTTTTCTGCCTCTGTGGCATCTAGGATTATATGCTTGAGCCACCATTTCTGGCTTCTGTAGTCTTTATAAATGTTTATTATAACTTTTTGCTGTTCCTAATGTTGACTGCTTAACATTTGGATTTTATTTATTTCAGTTAAGAATTCAGGGCTGGTGGTATAGCCCAATAGGTAGAACACCTGCCTAGTAAGTATGAGGCCCTGAGTTGAAATCTCAATACTACCCCCCCAAAAAAAATCCATATATTGAGGCCACTTTGCACTTTGCAGTTGAAATACTTTCATGCTTAAAATATTTATTTCGCTAGGGAATAATCATTTAGTAAACAAAAAAAACTTACTTTGTATCTTGATTATGGTTTTATATATATATTATGATTTGGATTCCAATGAATATTTTTAAAACAAAAGCAAAGAACACATTTACAGGGTAGGAAAACATAATAAAATTTCTTTTTGCAGTTTCAGAACACTTACATTTTGTCTTTACAAGATATGAAATACCTGTTGTATATAACAATATTCCTATGAAATTTAGTGATAATCATTTTTTGTAGATGTCAAAGTAAGTGGTATCATAGTATTTATTGGGTTCTGACTTTTTTTTTTCCTTTTTCAGTATTGTGGTTTGAACTCAGGGCCTCCACCTTTTTTCCTAGACCTTGTTTTTATTTATTTATTTATTTATTTCTTTTCTTTTTGTGAAGGATATTTTGTCCGGGCTGGCTATAGTTAGGATTACAGGTGTGAGCCACTGGTGCCCAGCTGGCTTCTGACTTACGAGTTACAGTTTTATGTCACTGCAGTTAGATCTAGGGCTAGGCATTGAGATACATAAACATGAGGGGGTGAGGAGAGCCTGACAAGGACACCAAGGAGGAGTAACCATAGGGATACAAAGGAAACCAGTAATGTGATAATTGAGTTAGCCTTGAGAAGGAAGGTGGCCAAAAGTAGTGTTTGTTGACCTATTTGTTACTGGCCTCTTAAGCTGAGAGTTTAATGACTAGACCTGTTTGTTTCTGGTATATTCTTTATAGGATGGTTTAATTCATTTAGAAAGGAAGCTCCCAATTTCCAAAAAAGGCTGTTTAAAAAGTATCACTTGGGCTGGAGGTGCTGTTCAAGTGGTAGAGTGCTTGATTATCAACTACAAGGCCCTGAGTTCAAATGCCAGTGGTGCCTCCCTTTCCCCCTCCCCCCACCCAAAAAATTATTTAAAATTTTTAACACAGAGTTATTGTTTCATTGCTTGCCTGCCTGCCTTTTCTCTTTTCCTCTCTCCGTCAGGTAGGGAGAAAAGTGATAATTCAACTATTTTTTCTGTATTAGTCCTTGAGAAGGCAGTTTCATTTTTCTTATTAAAATAATACAAATCATGATAATTTTGTGTATTGGGCTAAATAAGTTCAAAATGTTAAGTAATAATGACTGACTTTTTACCATAAAAGGATATGTTAGCATATCGTTTGTAATTATTCTAGTGTGTAAACCCTGTTTTTAAAAAGTTGAATTCTACATCATATACTTACTTTTTTTTTTTTTTTGGTGGAGCTGGGGTTTGAACTCAGTGCAAAGCAGGCACTCTACTGGTTGAGCCACACCTTCCTTCAGTCTTATCCTTACTTTTGTACATGTTTATATTCCAGTATAACTAAGCTGTCGCTGAGATTTATAGTCTGGCAGTGCTTTCTCATGGTGTAAGAAGCCCCAAAGGTAAACTAAGCATCTCTTGGTTCAAGGTTATTTTACTAAGGTAAATACTGTTAAGATTTTTTTTTAAATATTAAGACATGTATGGATATGTTGGTACAATGCAGAAATTTCAAATGTTTATAAAAAACAAATACCTTGAAGACAGGTTATTTTGGTTATTCTTCTGAAAACAATTTTTTGGAAGGGGGAGCAAAGTGGGGTTAATTAAGTTTTTTAAACTTTTGGGAAAGTTTAGGAGATACTGGTAACGGAAAAGCAGCTTTTGAGATAGAAGGACCTGGGTTCTTGTTGTCTCGGTTCAGTCATTTATTGGTCTCGCTGTTCAGGGGTAAATTACTTAAATCTTTTGTAATTCTGCCCCTTTTGCATTTAAGTTGATCTAGCCTTTCTTATTTATAAAGAAAAACCAAAAAAAAAAAAAAAACCCAAACAAAAACAAATAGCCAATCCATATTTCTTTCCTTTATTTGAGCCCTTATAATGTTGGCACTTACCTTACAATAAATACTTCCAAGAAAAATAGTCATTGATTATACCTATAACTTTTCTGAAAAGACTTGAGGCAGAGACCTTGTTTTAAATTATTTGTTAACTCTATCAGCTTTTTAGCTATGGGGTTTGAACTCAGGGCCTCATGCTTGTTAGGCAGGTGCTGTAACCGTTTGAGCCACTCCTTCAGCCCAGGATTGCCTTCTTTAGCCTTGTATTTTTCAGTGAAGATAGAACATAGGCCCATACTGCACATGTTGGCCATTCAGTAAATAAGTTGGTTTGAACTAGATTTTATTCCAATTAGTCCACATTGTTTGCATTATAATTCTAAATTAAAGTTTACCTTTACCAGTCCTTAAAAAAAGATCCTGTAGGATGATTCCAAAAAGATACAGCCTTCTTCAGTTTTTGAGGAAAGAAAAGCCCAATAAATATAATTTTGTTTAAGGAACAATTTTCATGTTTCTTTGGTTGTGAGTTTTATGAAAATTAAATCAGTTCATTTTATTATAAATTATTTTTGTGTGCTGGAGAACTGAACCGAGACCCTCACACGAGTTAGGCACTTGACTGAGCTACACCCTCAGCTCTTAGAGTTTTTCTTTTTTCTTTCTTGTAAGTTTTGAAGTTCTTTTTGGTAGCTTGTTATCAGTACTTTATTCATTTTCATGGCTTACCATTCTATTGTATGTAAATGCCACATTTAGTTCCTTCATTTGTCTGTGGAATGATTTCTACCCTTTTGACTCTTGTTAATAGTGTTCCTGTGAATGCTGGTGTGTGAGTATTTGAATACCTCCTTTTATTTCTTGGAGGTAGATACCTAATAAAGATGGCTGGGTCATAGGTAATTCTGTGTTTAACTTCTTGAAGAATTGGTGGATTGCTTGCCACAGATGTCTCCCCTTTAACTTGTTTTTCTTACTGAATTTCATGCAAATTGGTAGTTAGATAACATTTCAAATTCCATTTGGGGTGTGAGAAGAATAATACATCATAGCATACTTTATACTGTTTCACAACAAAAGATACTTGATTCTAGTTGTTTATTTGATCTTTAAAAATAACCTATATTGTGGTATACTTCACAGAAAACTATGCCAGTTCTAAGTGTACAGTTTGAATTTTGGCATATGTTGTCAGTTGTATAATCATCACCACAATCAACATAATGCCCCATTGCTCAAAAAAATGCCTCTTGGAGGCTGCAACTGATGTTATCACTGGTTTTGCCTTTTGTAGGTTTTTATTCTGTGAAAAGACAAAATGTAAAGATCTTTAGTTAGCATTATTTGCTATTGTACAACTGGCAACATCTCTTAGTGTAAATCAGGGTAAATGTTATGATGTGCTGAATGTAACTTGGTTTTATAGGCAGAAAAATATTGAAGAAAAACCAGATTGGTCATTTCAAAATGTAGTAAGGAGGGGATAGGGAGTCAGAACAATAAGACAACTGATTGGTTAACTTCAAGTTATTTTGGGGCAAAATTAAAGCAGTGGGAATTTTATTCTGATTTGAAACTGGTCTGTTTGGAAATTTTATTTATTTCTCTGAAGGCCAGGTAACAATTTAGTTTCAGTTTGGGTATATGGAACTTTAGTGTGAATGACTCCATATTGATCTTAGGCTGTCTACTAAGGACTAGTGCAAGAGCTTAGTCCAGGACACTGGCTTCATAAAATTTGAACTCAAACTTGCTAGGCAGATGATCTACCACTTGAGCCATTCCGACAGCCTGGATCATTATAATTTAAAGGAGGTGTAGCATAATTTTTAAAGGAGATAATCTTGCCTAGAAGCTACAGATCTAATTCCTTCCATTTTTAAAATTTTATTTCTTTTTTTTTTTTTTTTATGACAGGGACTTGCCATGAGGTGTTGAAGCCTTGTTTCACTGAGTTGGAGAGACTGGACCTAAATGGCGCAGCATGACTTTGCTCCAGCCTGGCTTAATTTTCCTACTCCACCTTCATCAACAAAGGTACTCTTTCTGCATCTCTTGACTTTCTGTCTGCCTCTCTTTAGCTTATGTTGTATACCAGTGCAACCAAAATGTGAAGGCTTGGACTGGGTGTGGCTCAGTGGCAGAGTGCTTTAGCATGCACAAAGTCAGCAGGAAAAGACTTCTTTGTAGAGAAGAACATTTATGTCATCATCCAAATAATTTTTTACTTATTATGGGTCTTTTTAGTTTAAAAGTCAGTTTTCTGTGTACTGTCACCATACTAAACCATTTTCCTTTAAGGTCACCATACTAAACCATTTTCCTTTAAGGTTGAGTTATGTAGTATTGAAGATGTCAAACATTTTAATTCAAACCAATCAGACACTTTGAAATTTACATCTTCTTTATACTTTACACCATCTCCCTACCTCTGGGTTTTTTTTTTGGATGGAACTGGCATTTGAACTCAGGGATTTGGCTTACAAAGCACACACTCTGCTACTTAAACCATACCTCCAGTCCATTTTACTGTGGTTATTTTGGAGGGTCTTGAGAACTAATTCCCCGGGCTGGCCTGGAACCTCCATCTTCCTGATCGCAGCCTCCCAAGTAGCTAGGATTACAGGTGTGAACAACCAACACCCAGCTCATTTTACCTTTTTTAATATCTTTTATGACTTTATATTGATTGCCCTGGTAACTAGTAATGATACCCAGTTTATATGGTAGTTTAAAGTTTGCAAAGAACTTTGCCACACATCTAATTTGAGCATAATTTGACAAATTCAGTGATTTAGAATTATTCTCAGTTCTTGCTATGTTCATTTTAAATACTGACCTTTATCCACAAGGAAAGTGAAATGATCACCTTTCAGAATAAAGGGCATGGGCTCAATCACTCTTGGATGAAGGTGGTTTTATCAGAGCTGCTGCTTTATCTTTTCCGATATCCGGGTAAAACTGTCTGGTTTATTTGGTATCACACACATCTGTTAGGCTTCAGTAATTGCTAGTTGATTGCTATATTGTTTCCAGCAGTGCTCTGGGACATAAATTGCTCCTTGTTCTGATGCAGTTTAATTAGGTAAAGGGTGGTTTTCCAGGCCTGTCTTGAGGTTTGTTCTGACACAGTTTAGGGCTTGCTCCTTTTAGCTGTTTGCCTGATTCTGCCTGCTCTTGGTGGACTATTGGTTTAACTTGTTGCTTTTCATTGAGAGTTGTCACTAACCACCTTTTTTTTTATTTTAAATATCCTCCAAAATCTTGGTTGTTTCTCAGAGTACTCTTAGGCTTGAAGTTTTATCATACCATGTTTCAAATAAAGCCAGTTCCTTTGAGGACTGCTGCTTACCATGGGCAAAATCTATTAGATAGCTGGACCAAGGGCAGTTGGGACTTTAGTACTCTTGATTTGATAAAAATTAAATGGAGCCTTCATTGTTTGAGTGAGGATGGGCAAAGGAAAGGAGCCTCTGATTTCTTGACTGCACTTAGCTAGTCAACTTAGCAGTTGTAGTTGGAGGAATGAGATCATCCAAAAAATAGGGAGTCATGTCTTTTTGGAGCCTGGTCTTCAGTTACATAATAAGTGCAAAGGTAGTAGAATGTCTCTCAAGCCATAAATTTGGGTAGTTGTAAATAAATATAGCTGGTGAAATCCATTAAAAAACAACATTTAAAGTCTCTAAAAATTATTCAAAGAATACATAGTAAATGAAGAGACATTTACTGAAAATTAATACATATGTATAATACATAGTAAGAATTTCTATATTCTATATTCTTTTTATTTATTTTATCATTTTTACATTTACTCACATGTATATACATTGTTTTGGCCACCTCACCCCATACCCTGATATTTTATATTCTTTTCCCCTGTATGTAATAGTTTCCCATATATCTGGAAGACTTATTTTTCATATAAATAAACCTTTGCCTGGCACATGACTGAAATTTCAGCAATAATGTGAACTTTGCAGGACTTACCTCAGAAATGCTTATTTCATTTATGAACAACAATAGAGTACTTTGTGCTAATACCATTAAAACATCCAAGACCGTTGCATGACATTGAAATTGGCATCTGTTTTCAAAATAGTTCTTCAAAGTGTTAATACTGGGCTTTTTTGGGATAATTTATAGGCCATTATTGATTCTTTTAAACCCTTAGTCTTACTAAAAAGTGGGAGATACCTATGTATTTTCTTATGATAAATCTGTTACAGTATTTTTGATGAGTTCACTTTGTTATTGAACAGGCTGCTGTTGGGAAATTTTTGATGGGTCTTTTTAGTGTTGTCTAGTGCGCAGACTTTAAACAACTAGAGGTAGACATAGATGCAGTAGTCTAAATATTCCTAAGTAATGAGGAAAGTAGGAGCCCATATATTTAAGAATTTAATTCTTTATTTCCAGAAAGTAAGTTACTATCTTTCTGATAACAATTAATTTATTAATTTTGAGGTAATTTATATTTGGGTTTAGTCAAGCTATGTTCATTGTAGATAGAAAGTAATTTCTGTGTGTTGGCTTTTATAGACTATAGAAAACCTGTATAGTCTAGAAATATACTAGTATTAGTAGATTCTTTTCTCTTTTTGCTTTGTGCAAAAAGGAAGAATAAAACCTTTCTACCTTTCTAGTCTCAGTACAGTATTTGTGACCAGATGTGTTCTCTCCCATACATCAGGCTATTTTCTAATGAATGCTAGCTGAGTATCTTACAATTCAGTTCAATTCTGATACCGTCTACCAGGTTTCCATAGGGTTAGGGTTAGGGTTCAGTCTAACAACAGTGCCCGAACTCCAGATGCCAGTGGGAAGTTAAGGCCACCTGTCCGCTTATCTTTTTTTTTTTTTTTTGAGATAGGGTCTCCTTATGCAAGTTTAGGCAAGCCTTGAATTTGAAATCCTTTTGCCTTTACCTCCTGAATGCCGAGATTAGAGGCATGCAACCCCTCCACTTCTTCTTCCCCACCACATGTGCTTCTGACCAACTGACTACAAACTAAGGTTCCCATGACAACCCCCCCTTGGATTAATTTGCTAGGATGACAACAGAATTCAGGGAAATACTTTCCTTGCCAGTTTGTTTATATAAAGCATATAGATGGATAGAGCAAATTATTGGTAGGGGGCTTCAGAGTCTCCTCAGACTTTTGAGGGCCCTCACCCTAATTAACCTCATTAGCATGAACCCAGTAGTTATATTAAAGGGGCTCATTATGAATAACAACATAGGCATATCATCTGGAAATTTCGAGAGGTTACAGGAGCTCTGTGATTAGGAATCAGGGACAGAGACTAACTATATTTCATGTAGTATACACTGTTAAAGCAGAGACTAGTTTAATAATTTGTTTTCTATGATGTTCTTTATTTAAAATTACTCTTAACTAGTCTTAAGTGATTTTATTATAAGATACTCACCTTTTATTCCATTAAAGAAGAAAATACATTGTCAAATTAATGTGTATATCTTAAGCAATCTCGATTTTAGAAATCATAAAGGGTAGAAAACTGTTTGAAAGTAACTTGATTCTTTCGACTTGGATATAAATATCTACCTGCCTTAAGTAGCTGTATTCTACTTTGTTTCTTCTGTAGTGCAGAGGAATTAAGAGACGGTCTTCATCATCTGCTTGGCTATTAATTAAGCTCTAACATGGTGAGGCACTTTTAGGTGTGTAGGCAGTTCTTATTAAGCAGTTTTTTTGAGCCCATTACTGCCAAAAACAACAAAAAAAATCAGCTTATTAAAATCATCTCTTTTTTTTTTGGTGGGACTAGGGTTTGAACTCAGGGCTTAGTGCTTGCATAGCAGGAGCTCTCCTGCTTGAGCCATACCTCCAGTCCATTTTTGCTCTGGTTATTTTCAGTCTCTGGGTTTGTCTGGGTTGTCCTTGAACTGTGATCCTCCCAATCTCAGCCTCCCGAGTAGCTATGTTTACAGATGTGAGACATTGGTGCCTAGCTAAAAGCAGTTGTTAGGAGAACTATTCTAGTTTGGAATTTGTTCCCTATAAAGGATTTTTCAGTTTATGATAAATCTGGCCAGTAGTATGTTGAAAAAAGATGCATTGAGGTGACAAAATTTCCTAGACAATAGAATTTTAGAGTTTGAAGATGGATCTTAGCAATCATCTAAACTCACTTCTTTTTTTTTGTCTCAAGCTCTTTGCCCAGGCTGCCCTTGAACCTCAGTCCTTCTGATCTCAGTGAGATTTCACTCTCAAGTAGCTAGGATTACAGGTGTGAACCACTAGTGCCAGACTCACCTTTTATACAGGAGTCTTTGGAAGGTTAACTGACTTGCCTCCCTGTTTTCACAAAGCCCATTAATTAGTGTGAACTTGGACTAGAATCTGGGATGCATCTGTTATGTATTTCCATAAAATTCATTTTGGAATTCTATAAAATAATTAAAAATTCCATTTCATAAACTATAAAAGGGGACTTGAATTTGGTAGGAGACTTTTACTGATTAAACTACCATGATTAAACCATTAAGGTCACTTCTTGTTACTGACTCTCTATTTCCCCCTCATATGCAGTCTCTAGAATTTGCTCCCATGTTTTTGAAAAACTTCAGCTGTTCTTACCTTTAGAAAGGTTATTTTTTTTTCCAGGCCTCCTTCACAGACTGGATGCATATGCATTTCTTGTTTCCCTTTTTATTTCCTTTTGTCATTTTCTTTGAAATAACTATAAGGCTTATTTTGATTTTTAGGAAACTCATGGCTACCACAAAGTACATCTCTAAAAATTGCCAGCATCTGGAAAGTGCAGTTGCAAGCTACTAAAAATAATCCTCATAAACTTTTCTCCATTTAAATGTTAACCTGGGGTCAAGGCTGATAATAGTTGATAATCTGTACTGAAATCCTTGGTGCTTTTTAAGAACCTGACTCTTAATCTGTACATGCCCTCATGGTGATAATAATTTTGATTCTGAGATTTTGGAACTGCCTACTCTAAGTTTTTGAACATTCCTTCCAGAAAGTGATCATCAATCTGAACTTTTTAACTATTGA